ATATTTTTATCCCCTTCGCCGCAAGCGTCGTCGCACCGGTTTTTTCCTCCCTAAGTTGCTTGCCAGATATGGCCTTTGTTTGGAATTTCTTCCAGTAGAAGATTCTAGTTGTGAGCAGGGAATAATGGGCTTATTGAGCATCAATGAGAACAGTAGCAGTACTCATTGGGTGACCCCACAACAAAGTAGTACTTCTGATATGGCAGATATTATGCAGAATGAATGATGTGGAGAAAGTTAATAACAACAAATGTTTCATATGCTTCTTTCGTCCATGTGGGGTATGGCAATTCCTATGTTGTGGCAGGACTGATACCAGCCGATTCAACGGATTCCAACTACCCCTAAGGGTGCATGAAATCTCTGCAGTTAATTGTTGTTTGAACAATTTTTCAATTCAAAATATCTCAATTTATTATGCTTCCCCTTAAAGATTCTTTAGTTTAAAGGACTTGGATTGTATGACTTGTGGAGTGAACCAAAGTACACTATTAAAATTCATATAGGCTTTTTCCTTTACACAAAGATGCTAAAAGCTAGAAAAATTAAATACAACATATCCAAGGTATTTGAAACACTAATGTATTGGGGTATCAACTTGATCAAGAGGTTTCATTTGGACGAAACTTGACAAGAAATGCCTAAGAGAAAAAACTTCTCAATGGTTCAATGTAATATCAAGCCTAGTCATATGGAGAAGTTTGTCCTATGTATGGACATAAAGTACTCCCCTAATGCTACTTGAATGTAACCACTATTTGAATTTCCAAGTTGTAAAAATGTTTCTGCATGTTATTTGACACTCCAAGTAAAATTGTTGAGGAATTTCCTTGGGTAAATATTTTTCCTCACATAGCGGTCTCCTTTATATAATTTGGCTCTCTCGCCTAGCCAGCCCGAACTAGCTTAGCCGTGAGAAAGGGTGTGTTTCAGGGAGCTTTCTTTTGGGACAACTATTTGTAATGACTTGCCCGTCAGTCATGATGAAATTTGCCACAGTTCTAGAACGGCCATCCACTTCAAATAT